GGCAAATTCCAAAGGCAGAGGACAAAGATAATAACAGTCTTATATTCTTGTACATTATTTGTTATTGTTGCTGCATTTGCTAATTGTGGACAAAGTATGTATAAGAGTAAAAGCTCAAAGGCCGTACTCTACTGTCACACATGAGCTAAATACTGAAGTGAATATGTATGGAAACGTGTGTGTGTGTGCTGCAACTGCAAAGAGCTTAAATGGTAATGGGAGACAAACATATGCATGTGCATATCTATATTTGTATATATGTATGTATAAGTAATAGTATGGTACCTATAGATATCAATCAATTAAAAGCAATTCATTATTTAATTGTTATCCAGAAAAACATTAATCGACACACACATGTATTCACGTAAATTATATATACGTGTGTATATGTACATATGTGTGTGTGACGTCTGGAAACAAGTCAAGGTTGTACCCAATCTTTTAATGGATTGCTCGCCACCCAAACATGAATTTTAATTTCCGCTGCCAAATTTTGCATTGTTAAATTAAACAAAAGTTCATTAGTTTTTGCACACGATTGCAGCAGGAAAACACAAACGAAGAAGAAGAAGCGCAAGACAGCCAAAAAGCGCAGTTTATACAACCAAATGGTCAGCGACGCCAACGCACGCGCTGCGTTGCCGTCAACGTCGGCAGCGACGCAGTTCAAGGCTAGGCTGAGGCTCAACGGCGCGACTGCGCTTGAGCAAAATTCATGTACGAAAGAGGAGAAATGTTAGTTGGCAAATAGGGCGGCTACAGAAATAATAAAGCACTGCGAATCGGAATTGGAAAGTAAAGGGCGCAGCGCCACACACACACACACACACACACACACACACATATGAATGTATATACATACATACATATGTACATATGTGTGCGCGTATCACAATCGAAAGGAAATTCAATTTTAAATCCATTCTCACAAACACACGCACAAGCATATACACAAGCGTAGCAGCTAGCAGCGGTGCGGCGTCGCCGCTTATAAAAGTCATAAAATGCTTAAAGCCGACATCAGCAGCAACAACAACTACTACGACTACAACAACAGCAAAGCTGATGGACAAACAACCCAGGCGCTGCCAACGAATTGTGCTACTTTCTTTGCCAGCAGCCGCTGCCGCGGTCGCTACCACTGCCGATGTCGCTGTCGCTGCCGCAGCGCTGTCAACGTCTTTGTTAAGTCTTTGGAATTGCACATGATTTTTGTTGGTTTTGTCATTATTGTGAGCCATCGTTATTGTTGTTGCTGTTATTGTGCGGTTGCCTTAGCTTCTAATTTATTTCAATGACATTTTTTTCAAATAAGAAAAATGCAAGCCAGCCACAAAACGAAGTGGGCTCCACAAGCCGCAGAAAGCTGCTGTGCTGCTGTTCTTTCCACAGCAGCCAGAGAAAGTTCATGCAACTGTGTGTGTGTGTGCGTGTGTGTAAGTGTATGTGTGCGCGCCATTAGCGATCGTTTAGCGGGTGGCCAGACTGTGATGCTGTGGCAGCTGCCATGAAAGGTCACTCAAGCTGCTGTTCAACTTTAGCACTCGAATCAAGCGTCAATTGCGTTCAAATAGAAAAGCTCAAGTAATAACGGATCATGAGTAATACATACAGACAGACAGACATACATAGAAATAAGTACAGCAAACAAGCTATTATTATTTTTCTAGTCTCTGTTGCTGCTGCAGTTACTTTACTAGTTTTTTATTTCTAATGTTGCTGTTGCCGCTGTCGCTGCCACTGCTGCTGCTGTCGTGTGGCATTTGGCAAATGGCAACAACATTTTATATTGTTGTTGCTGCTGAACCTGTTGCAGCACATGGCAGCCAATTGTGAGTAGAAAACGCGTTGATCTGCAGGCTAACTAAATAAATAATAATTTCTGACTAGACGTTGCGGCACTAATACACGCACACACACACACACACACATCTGCAATACGACTCTCACTCTTCTTTCTCAGTCTCTCTCTTTCTTACGCTCATATTTGAGTTTGCAAATCCTTGAGTAAAGAGCGCACAAATAGCATTTGACAAGGGAAATATATGGGATTTCTTAGGCTTTTGTATAAGAGTTTTGTATAAGCAGCGTAGTCAGTAGCCAAATGTTATTTTAGGATATTATAAGAGCTGTAGGGTGTGAGGTGTGAGAGTGGGTGTTATGCTAAGGCGATGACGATGGCGTCAGCATAGCCGCTAGCTGGGCTTTTGGTGATTGTGCAAAAAAAACAAAAACATAGCGGCAAAACCAAAAACCAACAGCATACATATATAATGGCAAAACCAAGATAAGACTGGCTTTAAACAGACAACTGAAAGTTGTTGCGTTTTTTTTTTTCTAAGCCAAACGAGTTTGTTGTTGTTGTTGTTGTCGCCGCAATCACTTTTGGCCGTGCGAGTCTTATGAGTCTAGACTAGACTGAATGGAATGCTTGGCCCATGCATGTATATGCATAAGTGTATGTGAGTATGTATGTGTGTATGTATGTAACATAGATACAACTATCTATATCGCGACTTAAATTACAACGGCCGATCACAGGCTGCAAATTGCTCAATAGGCAACAATAACAACAACAGCGCACGCCCTGCAACAATAACAGAAGAAAAACAAAACAAAAACAAAGGCAACAACAACAGAAATTTTTGGTCAGTGAAAACCTTGGTTCAGTTGCCGCTGTCTGTCATTGTTGTTAATGTTAACGGCGACATATTTTGCTATGGAAAAATTCTCACCGACAGCGGCAAAGACAAACAGAAACTAAAGAAACAAAAAAAAAACACAAAGCAAAAGCCAAAGTCTCTCCCAACTTCATTTCACAAACAACAAATTTTAGACATGGGCATTAAGTTGGTTGTCAAAACAACAACAGCAGCAGCAGCAACAGCAGCAATTTTGCATTAAAATAGTTGCAAATTATAATAACAACAGCAACAACAACGGCCACAGCCGCAGCAACCTCTGCAACAACAACAACAACAAAAGACGTCAACAACACACGCAGCAAAACTTTTGATTTCTTTTGATATTCATCAGCAACAGCAGAAGCAACAGCAACAGCAACAACTACAATAAATAGAGGCGGCAAACGGCCATGCGCCCAGAGCAGAAACAACAACAGCAACAACAACAACAACAACAATAGTAGCAGCAGCAGCAGTGTTACCAGCAAAAGTAAGTTACTAAGGCAAATTGGTTTATAACGGGACGAACTTTCACTGACTTATGGATGCTGCTGCTGCTGTGGCTGTTGCTGCTGTTGCTGCTGTTGCTGTTGCTGTTGCTGCTGCTGTTGCTGTTGGCTGTTGTCCATCAGCTTACTGCGGGGCGTGCCAACAGCGATCAAACTTTATAATTTGCATAATTTTTATAAACAGTAGCCAGCATCAGCCTGATAGATATCGGTATGTACCAAAAATACCACAGAAAACGTACCAGGCAAAAGGGTGTACCAAAAATACCAAAATAGAATGGAACAATTATATAAATAGAGAGGTTGAAAGAGGGCGTACCAAAGAGAATGGTAATAATATGTACTAAAATCCAGAAAGAACCCAGAAAACCATGAAGTAAATAGGGTTTATCAAATCTGACAAATAAAAAGGATGGAAAAATAAAGTGCCAAGAACATAGAGCAAATATGTCGAAAGCTTATAAATAAAGGGCATACCAAACATATTATGAACAAAGAAAAAATGGGGTACTCAAAAATAACAAAAGGACAAAATAAAAGAAAGTACGAACAAGGACGTATCAAGTAAAGAATGATGAAAATCGTGTACCCAAAACCTTCATGAAATGTACAATATTTAAAAAGTACCGAGGAAAGGATGAAGTAAAAGGGTATACTACTAAATAAAAAGTGTCTAGTGAAATGCTTTTATTAAAAATATTAAGAAAATAATGGAAAAATTAGGTCCCAAATCAAAGAAGCAATCAAAAACAGTATCAATTAAAGAGTGTAATAAAAAATGCATAGGCATAATGTAAAATGTATGTACCAATACTATTAAAAGAATGCACCAAATATAGGCAGAATAGATGAGTACCAAAAATGCAAATGTGCCAAATCTAAGGGAAACCCAAATGATGAAAATCAAGGAAAAATTCCAAATTTGGTTGTAAAAATATTAAGAGAAAGACTTTAACCCATATCAAAAAAAAAAAAAAAAATAATAATAATAATAATAATAATAATAAATAAATAAAATATCCAGAGATGGAAAAAGATGTGTGCCAGACATATCAAGAAAAATGTGCCAAAAAGAAAATCAAGCAAAATTAATTACCAGAACGATTAAGAAAATGTACCAAGAAAAGAATGCGATAAAATGAATTAAGTACCATGAATCAAAGGCCATTAAAAAAAAAACTCACACACAGTTACACATTTAAGGATATATACATATATACAATTAATATATTTAACTTTAATACTATTGACACATTTGATTAAAATGCCACGAAATGTCCCATTCCATGGCAGAAATGTGCAGTGTACCCTTGTATGGCAAAAAAAAAAAAGTCCCAGTTTTGGTACCATATGGCAAGCGAATCTCATGTATGCACACACATACGCACACGCATGCACACACACCTACATGCATTTGTATGTGGGTAAGCACACGGCTCGCATGCATTTGGAGCATAACATAACAATTGTAACTTGCTGTACCGTTACTTTTGAGCAAATTAACTTGTTATCGATAGGCCTGTAACATTATAAGGCACTCCGATTGCATAATCGGATTACGAGCTACAAATATGACAAATAGCCAGTTCATATTTGAATGGCGCTTCAATTTCACTTTTACTTTTGTCTCTCATTAATTAACATCGTCAAGCAAATTTCCAATTAGGTAAAATGACAAAAGCGAATGGAAGAGCGTTTAACAGAAACATTAATGGTCAAGCTGACGGGCAATTAATGTTGCGTTTAGTGATTAAGCGACTTAAAAAATATAATGTTAAGCTGTTAGATATCAGAATTGAATTACCTGGCTGTTGCTGCAATAGTAAATGTCCGACATCCTGGAACAGCTTTGGAAATCGAGTGTTATGTTAGTTGGCGTCTCTTATGCTCAGCTCCGATTGGAATGATGAACATGACCGCGTTCTCGAGCGCCGCAGCAGGTGTAATTGTTGCACACGGTGTAAAGGTGTCACCTGAGCGCAATTGTAAGCGATACGTTTAGCCACTTGCGCAATAGATGTGTGTTGCCTCTCAGGATCAGATCAGATCAGATCCGGATCAAATTATTCGCATGCTTCTGCCCGTACGTACGTATGCATGTACATGTGTATATGTATGTATGTATATGAATGCCAAACAAAACAACAATAACAAAAACAAAACAAAAACACAACAACGTGTGGCTGCACTTCACGCTTCGTCTTGCAGAACACTCGATCGCCACCGCCGCCGCCGCCTTCTGCTTGTGCTTCTGCTTCTTCTTATTATTTGCTTTTTTTCTGCTTTTTAGCAAACGAGAGCGCACGCGCGCGCCTTTCCCAAAAGTAAAGAAAAACAACGGTTTAACGTGGTGGTACGAATCGAGCAAGTGGGAAAGAGAGCGCAAGAGAGATTGGATAACTGCTGACGATTTAGCGCGACAAGCGACCGACTCTGGCCGCGTTTAAAAGCTGACTGTCTTCGAAATGCGACAGCCCGCATCCATTCGACGCTGAGCAACTTCTTTGACGACGCAACCGCAACGAAAGTTGTTGCAACCAGTTTGACGGCTGTGGCCCATTCAGACTGTCGGCCTGGCTGACAGGGGGAATAATGGGAGTGCGGGCGGTCAATCAAGCGGCCGACCGATTAGCGCAAAGGACATGCGCTTAAGCCGGCGATTTATGGGGAAAATGAATTATTGAAACGCGTCGCACCTGTTATGCGGGTGCAAGGACGCTGGCCAAGAGCCAAACACAACAGTGTGACAAAATTGAATTATTTATTTTTTGTTGCTTATTGCTTTTGAAATTTGAAGTTTTCAAATTACTTAGAATAAAAGTTACATATTCCATTATTTATTCAGTTCCACTCGGTTCGTGAACTTTCTTATCGTTGTCAATTTCACTTGTTATCAGTGTTATTTTATGAACTTTGTATTATAGTGTTGTATTTATTTTGGCCACTGAATTAGTTTTTGATAATTTGCTATGGTAATAGAATAGGACATTTTTAATTTTCATTTTACGATGTTTTATAATTGATATGTATTTCTTGATTTTAACCATTGCCAACTGCTCATAATAAAATTTGAATTTAACGTGCCGACGTTGCCACCTGCTGCAATAAATGACGATGTGGGCCTATTTCAAAACAGCTGTTCTTCGTCGACAACAACTGTTTTGTTATCGAATATTTTTATTTTTGGATGTTATGGTATCGATTTTTAGGCACCTGGATGGATTTATTGTTGTTATTTTTTGTTGGCACTTGATTTGATTTGATCTAGCTTCGCGCTATGATATAGCAGTTTATTTTCATTAACTAAGACCTTCTAATGGCGCGAAATGTGCTACAGAGCAGCCTTCTGGGCGCTGGCTTCAGTATCATCTTTCAGGTGAGACAACCCGCCGCCACGTAAATTGGATACGTGTGAGTCAGATTTCGGCGAAATTCGTAATTGATCGTTATCTTGTAGATACTGTGCCGCATCCTTACGTTCGGCATCAACGCCTATATTGTGCGCAATGTAGGTCGCGAGGTGTTGGGCATTATGAACGTGCGCCTGCTGCTGCTCGAGAGCACGCTGCTCTTCTTGTCCCGCGAGGCCATCAACCGGGCCGCGCTGAGCGCCAACTCGCAGCAGCGCGAGAAGTGCTCGTGGGCACAGTTGATAAATCAGATGTGGCTTACGTAAGTGCGTGCCAGATCAGTCACAATTCCCATTCATCCTGCCACATGTCCAATACTCTCTCTCTCTCTCTCTCTCTCGCTCGCTCTCAATGTCCGCTGCGTCCCGTCTAGCGTGCCTATTTGCGCAGCTCTATGCGCCCCCTGTCTCTACATTTGGCTGCACTGGCTCTCGGCAGTGGATGCGCCCTATAGCGCACAGTATGAGTTCGCTTGCTACGCGGTGGCGCTGTCCTGCGTCCTGGAGCTGGTCGCCGAATCGACGGTGTTTGTGGCTCAAGTCTTTTGCTTTGTCAAGTTGAAAATTGTGCTCAATACTTTGCACATTCTGGTGCGCTCGGCCATCTTCTTGTGGATTGTCACGGGCGATCGGAGCGCGGCCATCAATGCCTTTGCCATCGCCCAACTGTCCAGCGCCCTCACCATTGTCCTGGGTCAATACGGATTCTTCCTGTTCTACATTAATCGCTTCAACGACTTCAAACTGCGACAGCAAACGCGCAAGAGCAAAGCTGTCCAGGCTCCAAACTCTTGGGAGCGTTCGCTCTTTGATCACATGGATGATTTCCCATTCACCAAACTGTCCCAGCTGCTCCCAGGCGTGCTGAGCTGCTCTGGCAGCGAGCCGTGGCTCAACAGGGAGCTGCAGACGCTGACGCTCAGCTTTGTGAAGCAGGGCGTGCTCAAGCAGATCCTCACCGAGGGCGAGAAGTACGTAATGTCCGTATCGCCGGTGCTCAGCTTCGGGGAGCAGGCCACCTACGACGTGGTGAACAACCTGGGCAGCATGGCGGCCCGCTTCATATTCCGGCCCATCGAGGACAGCGCCTACTTCTACTTCACCCAAACGATCGCCCGCGACACGCGACTCAGCAAGCAGCCGCCGGAGCGGGTGCGCCAAGCGAGCAGCGTGCTCAACAATCTGCTGCTGGGCGTCAGCTCCATCGGGCTGCTGGCCTTCACCTTCGGCCAGAGCTACTCGCACACGCTCCTGCTGCTGTACGGCGGCGAGGACTTTGTTGCCGGTGGTCTGCCGCAGCGCCTGCTGCAGTGGCACTGCCTGGCCATCTATCTGCTGTCCGTGAATGGCATCAGCGAGGGCTACATGTTTGCGACCAACACCAGCCGGGACATCGACAAGTACAACTACCTAATGGCCATATTTTCGATCAGCTTTCTGGTGCTCTCGTACATACTGACGGGCATATTCGGGCCGGTCGGCTTCATCTTTGCCAACTGCATCAATATGCTGGGGCGCATCTTGTACAGCACACGGTACATACGGCATCAGTATCAGCCACTCGGCCTGAATCCGCTCCAGGGCCTCTGGCCGGGCAAACTATTTGGTGGCACGCTCGTACTAGCCGGCCTAGCTTGCTACTGGGTGAGCTCCACTCCTAATGATTGCATAGACTCTATATATAGTAATATAATTAATCTCCTCTTAGTATCGCAATGCTGTTTTCGGCACGCATATGGGCATTGGTCTGGCCGCTGGAGTCCTCTGCTTGGTTGCTTGGGCTCTGGCGCATCGGGATCTGATGCTGCTGGGCTGGAAGTATGGACGTCGCATCAAGATTGAATGATGCGGAGGGCCAAGTAGTCTAATTTCCTATGTTGCTGCAGTTACTTGAGCTCTACTTCCTAACCTGAGGCACAACTTATGCTTCTATGAATCGCACATCATCTTGGACATACGTAAATACTTAACTATTTATACTATACACATGCATATATTGATATATTTATATACGGTTGAAAATAAAATAAATTTTAGTTTAGTTATTGTATGTAGAAAACTGTTTAATGCCTAATTACATACATACATATGTTTATATTTCGCTAAAAACTGTTAACCGGGCATAAAAAGACAACGAAATAAATGAAGCCATGCAAAAAATGTAAAAGAAAACAATCTAACGGTTTTTCATTTAACATAGACGCATGTATATGCATGTATGTAAATGCATGATGTTAAAAAAGATAAGTAAATGCGTTGGGAAATTATAGTTTTCATGCGTACCCACATGCAGCGAAAATATTTAGTTGCGTGGCTCGGGTACATTTTGAAATTCATATTCTGCGGCAACAACAACCACAAGTAAAACTCAAACCGATGCATACTCATTATGCAGTATCGATAATTTATCGGATTGTACGTTAAACAAGCGACGAGCGCGCATTGCTGCGGAGGTAAAAATTTAGTTTTATTGAGTTTTAAAATATATAAAAAAAAAAAACTCAATATGAAGCGTGGAAAGGAAGAGGACAAGAATGATGCTGCACATAACAATAGCAGCAACAGCAATCATGGTAATTCCAAAACTAACAAGGAATCGCCCAACATCGGCAGCAACAGCACCGATGCCAATAGCAGCGGCAGCAACAACAACACGCCCAGCACAGTCCGCACCACGGGCCGCGTTAAGGTATTGTAAATGGCAATAGTGGCAATGCGTGCAGTTCATTTGTAAATTTCACGCATATTTCACAGAAACCGAAGCAGGTTTATGATCCCTCTGATAATTATGTATCGCGCGGATCGCGCAACTCGTTGCCTGCAGCGGCACCGTCTTCGCAATCGCAGCCATCGCAGGCAACACCAGGCAATGCAAATGCATTGCAACAGCAGCCCACGGTGTCGCAGTCGTCGGGCACCTCGCAGTCCCAGTCCCAGTCGGAGGCTCAACCGCAAGCGCAGTCTTCGGCATCCCCATCAAAAGCAACTAATCAGCAGGCAGCGCTTGCCAGCGAGAGGCCATCCACTTCCACTGCCAAGGAGGATGCCAAGGAGACGGTGCCAGTGCCCTCTGTGGAACAGCAGCGCAATTTTGATACGTGCATGAAGTGCGGCAAGAGCGAGGCGAAGCGCGGCTCCGGCTACAAAAGCAACTTTCTCACTTGCAAGACATGCACCATGAAATGTAAGTCCATTTTTCATTTCAATCTATCAATATTTACTCACTGATCCTGCGACTGTTGCTGTCGCTTCACAGGGCATTTCGCGTGCTTGCCGATTACGTTTGAGGTTCTTACAAATGCGCGTAAGAAATTCAAGTGCGAGAAGTGTCGCCGCTGTGTCACTTGCATGATCCGCAAGACCAAGGACAGGGTCAAGGAGCTGATTATGTGCTGCATTTGCGCCAATGCCTATCACTTGGATTGCCACTGGCCGGCGGTCATGCGCGAGAAATTGAAGGACCCGAAGTGGAAGTGCTACTCGTGTTGCCCCAGCTACAATCCGTATAACGGTGAGGCAGAAGAGCTTGCCACAAGCGAACCGAAATCTCCGCCGCGCAAATCGAAGGCTGGGCGCAAGAAGCGACCCACTTCTGAACCAGCTGATGCAGCTGACGTTGCCAAGAAGCCTGCTTTGCAGCAAAGCCTCAAGAAGAATGAAATCATTGAGAACCCAAAGCCCATCAACATCAGTGACACCATTAACAACAACAACAACGACAGCAATACGAACAAGCCGTCGCCCATTGTGTCCCAGACTCCCGACAACGCCGATATCGTCCAAGTCATCCGAAAGGATGACATCGATGTAGTTAACGGCATCATTGACTTGGCACCACTGACATCTTGCTCAACAACCACTACGCTCTCCACTCTGACCTTGGTGCTCTCACAGCAAAACAAAGAAAACGATGATTGCTTGGAGATTGTTGAGAATGGAACTTACGGAGACGATATTGTAGTATTAGCTGCGGCTTTGTCTCCGCCAAGAGACGAGGAGATTATCGTAATGGAGGCGGTGCAGACCTGGAGCATTGACGATGTGGTGGGCTACGTCGAGAGGTTCTATCCGCGCGAGGCTGACGTCTTCAGGGTCCAAGAAATCGATGGCGCCGCCTTGATGGTGCTGTCGCGCCAGGACGTCATCGATCGCTTCGGCTTGAAACTGGGCCCAGCACTGCGCATATACGAGCTGGTCCTTAGCCTGCAGACTTCAACGAACGACGTTTCCATTGGCTGGTGCGATTAGCCATCGGCTCTTCATACTTCCTCAACTTTGTCAGCTACTCTTTACCAGAAACTGTAAAGTTTCTTTATATTTTTTATAGTGTTATGCTTTAAGTCAGTGCACGTGGATGTAAACTCTGTGTAAGTTCGTTAATTTAGGATCACTGGAAGATCGACGAAGACCCATTTGATATCCTCATTTCATGTTACTCATTCATATGTATATTTTACTCAATAACAAAACCTTACCTTACGTATATCATAAGTCGAAACCTACTCAAGCTTTACTGTAGAAAAACTAGAGATCTATGTCAAGATCTTTCCATGAAGTCATATTTTAAAAATTTACGTTAGTTATTTTTACACTTATCACTAAGATATTTTCTTGAATTTTTTATAAATATAAGCTAACTTTGCCAAACCCTTTTCACACTATACACCAATGGATGTATATAGACTATAAGAGATATTTTCATGAAGTTGTTATTTCTACATATATCATTAAGTTTTTTCTTTATTTTTTTTGTTTTCATAAAAATAAAGAAATCTCGGCCAAAACTTGAAGTTTTTTTGGCTTTAACTTTTGAACGCTATACACCAATCCGATGTATATATTTCATGTATGATAAGAGATCTATTTTTTTTAAGTAATTAAATAATTTTTCTTTTTTTTTTTTAATAAAAATAAAGAAACCATTCACCGAATCCTGAATATATATACAAGATGTATGTGTACATATATATTTTATTGTTGCTTTTTGCATTTATTCAACATATTATAAAAGTGATGATGCACTGAGTAGCTCAGTTGCCGGATATAGAACTATGTATATAAATATAAATACGTAATGTTAGCCCGAGCGTCTTAATTAATTCGATCAATGGGACTTAATATAAATGTACATATATACATATACACCTGGTATGTATGTATATGAGTTTATTCGGGATCCCGTAAAGCTTCCGCTTAAAATATCAAAAGCAGTACGAATATCAAATTGAAGTACAAATACAATAATCACGTGGATTTCGCAAGCTTAAAAGTAAAAGGAAAACAAAATACAATCAATAAATAAAATACTAGTGGCAAAGGAAAAGAAATATGACGTTGTCCTTGGTGAGGATTAGAGTTGGGGAGGGGGTTTGGCTCAGAGGCAGAGTCATTGGGAGCATTGCATTTGCTCAGACCCGTGGCAGTAGCTTCTCCTCGTCACCAGCGCTGGGATTGGAGTGGGATATGGGCTTGGCACTGGCTCGAGATGGATCGTAGCCGTAGAGGAATATCGAGGCAATCACCAGCATGGCGCCGGCACTGAACTGGAGCGTCAGATTGAAGTTGAATATGTAGATGGAGGCGATGCAGGAGATGATGATCGCCAGCGAGGTGGCGAATCCCTTAAGTATATTGTCCGCATACTTGACCACGACGGCTACGATCAGGCCGCCGCCTGCCTGCAGCAGCACCAGGTACCACACGAAGACATCGTAGCCGTGGAAGAAGCCCGAGTTGTAGATGCGACTGCCGTCGTTGACGAAGCAGGTTAATAGTCCAAACGGAATGCTCAGCAGGCTGAGCTGAACGTTGCGCATCCACACGGAGATCTCGGCGCCCTTCAGTATCTTCTCAAAGTATATGCCCGCGAAGCCGGACAGGAAACAGGCGCCCAGTGCTGCCCACAGGCCCAGCATTCGATTCTGTTCAGGCGCCATGGCGGACGACAGCGTTGCGCTGGCAGCCGTTGAAGCTGTCTTGCCAGTGGCACCGCCGACGCTGCTGCCGCCATCCGTTTGGGCCAGCTGCACCAGCACAATGCCCAGGACGAGCAGCACCAGAGCGCCCCACTGCGTGTTGAATAGCTTGCGGCGCAGTATGACCACGGCGAACATGGCGGTGGTGAGGATCTTCAGCTGGTACGTCACCTGGTAGGTGGCCGCATCCAGGTGCGAGGCGGACACGTACAGTAGATTGTTCTGCACGATGTACACCAGCGAGGGTACGCACACCTTCAGCGTGTCCATTGGATTGGCAATGATCGTCCTGTGCAGCGAGCGCACAAATTTCTGGGCATCCTTGCCCTCCTCGTTGAAGACCAGCACCAGGCAGGTAATCAGCTTGACAAACTCCGACATGAGAACAGCTGCAAGCAGAGAAGTTACATGGTCACATCATGGAACAGAAAAGCCACACCAATCAGTTAAAGCTATGCACACACACATAGGCATTTACACACACACACACACACATGCTACGCTAAGTACACTCGCGTACAGGAAATAACACATAACATTAACTGCTTATCAGCTGGGGGCACCAATCTTTTGCCATTGTAGTTGCCTCTAATTAAAAAACCAACCTCTTTCGATCCCATTAAAACAACGTAAGTTATGTACATATATGAATGCGCGCGTGTGTGTGAGTGTGGGGGTTTGCCAACAGCGCATCTGCTTACGTCGCCTAATGGACTCTCTCACCTGTGGAACTAAGAAAAATGTCGCCCGGCCGGGTGCGCGCGTAGCGCATGCTGAGGCCCAAGATCGCATTTTGTAGGGTCAATGTGAGCAGGCTCACATACTTGAGTGTGTTGGCGTTAACTGAAATAGCGGAAAGCAACATGTTAGCGTTAATGGTTGACCATTACTAATATTTACAGCAGCGAAGAGAAAAAACCATGGGCACTCACCGTGTATGTTCATTTTGCGCTTAGCGTCTGTTTTGGTATCAGGGCCAGCAAAGCGTGAGTTAAAGCCAAAATAGTTTGAGCAAATAAAAAAAAAAAAAAACAACAAATAACCCAAAAAGAAAATGAAAAAAGAAATGAAAATAAAGGGAAACACCTGTTTCGGTGATCAACAATTGCTGCGTTGACAGTACGCGCTGCCCGCCTGCCGTGCGCGTTGCGTCTTCAACGATTGTTCGGCTATGAAGATGGCACGGACACGTAAACAAGCTTTCAGCTCATATTGCGTCCAGTTTTATCGTGTTTGTTTGGGTTTTTTTTTTTGATTTGCTGCCTTTCGATGGAGTGCTTACGATATCGATAACGATATCTCGAACAGTTGGCCGAGTATCGAGTATTGAGTACAAGTTCAGCACGAGTTGATTTACAAGTTCAGGCATCGATTGCATCTTGTACAATTATTATTGTTGTTGTTGAACGAACGTAGTCCGTGCAATTTGTTATTTTCTTTAATTTTTGCAATTACAACATAGAACAGATAGCCAAAATGCGCGAACAACCGTTAAAAGAGGTTACACAACTGATACATGCCATTAAAATGGGGTAAGACACGTACGGAATGCATCGCATGCATTAGCACGCAGAGCTAAACAGCAGAAATCGTACTTACAGCTTGGTGGAAGGTTCCTACAGCATTACCAACAAGACGCTAGACATCTTTAAGTACATTATTATGAGCAAGAGCTGGGATAGCGCCGAGTGAGTTGCCTTTGAGCTCATTATTGTCATCTGCCTAGATTTAACTCTTTGCCTACTTTCACAGCGCGCTCATGCAAATTGTTCGCGCCCAGTCACGAATCCTGCAAGCGGCTCTGCCCCAGGAGACCGTCACCTCGAATATAGCACGACGCATACTGAAACTGACGCGCGAGGAATTCGAACTGCTGCAGGCCAAGGTGCAGCATTTCGCCGACGACTCGCAAGCTTCCCTATCGCTGCACAAGCTGGTCACGCAGACCAGCGAAAGCTGTGTCAGTGTGGACTATTCGGTGCCGCAGCAGGGATTGCGCGAGGCGCTGCTGGATCATTTGCAAGAGGTCGAGACTGAACTGGAGACTAGCTCGGAAAACATCAGTGTGCAAGCCGAGGAGCACATACACTCCTCAGAGATAATACTGACGCTTGGACATTCGCGCAGCGTCGAAAACTTTCTGAAGCGGGCCATCAAGAAGCGACAGTTTCTGACGATAATCGTAGCTGAATGCGCGCCAGCCTGTCGGGTGAGTCACTCTTACAACAGACTCTGATTAGCTCCCCCGAGGTCATAATCGCCAAACATCTGCTATTAACTCAAACGCCATTAAGCTTTGACTATTCGGTTGAATACACACGTGTATACATAGAAGTCTATAAATAACTTTCGATGTCCTTGGCGAGTCCTTGATTAATGCGTGCCTTCTCTGTCTATCCGCAGGGCCACAATTTAGCTGCGACCTTAGCGCAGGAGAAGAATGTGGAGATTATTGTAATACCGGACGCATCCATATTTGCCATGATGTCGCGCATCAACAAGGTCATCATTGGCACGCACAGCGTCCTGGCCAATGGCGGCCTGCGGGCTGCTTGCGGAGCCAACACTGTTGCTCTAGCGGCCAAACACTACTCGGTGCCGGTGATTGTGCTGGCGCCCATGTACAAGCTGTCGCCATTGCACCTGTGCGAGCAGGATGCGTTCAATATGGTCGGCTGTGCCGAGGACGTCATTGCGTATGACTCGATGCCGGCTCGCGACGCCAAGGTCTACAGTCCCATGTTCGATTATGTGGCACCCGAGCTGGTCACGCTCTTCATATCGAATGCGTGAGTGGCCAATTACCCGAGCTAAGCTTGGATCGGCTTCCAATACTCATTGTATTTGTATTTGCTTTACTCTTTAGCGGCGGTCATGCTCCCTCCTATGTCTACCGATTGCTCTCGGAGCTCTACCACCCAGACGACCTGGAGCTGTGAAACTCTGACCGGACTCTTCAGCTGCTTGTACATTAAATGTATATATTTGTAACGCAATGGACCTGGCCAACAACAATAACAAGACTACAGCAACGATAAATAAAATAATGATAACTGTGCGCAATTCGCTTCTACTGCTGCAAGTTCTTGAACAACTCTATGAAATCGGCCAGGCTGTCGGCATAGTAGTCTGGCTGTGCTTCTGGCGGCGCCGCGTCCATGTCCGCCTTGGTCAGGCTGCCCGAGAGCACGAGCAGAGACTGGAAGCCACAGGACTTGCCGAACTGCACATCCTGCACGAGCATGTCGCCAATGAAAATACATCGCTCTGGCGCTTGGATGTTGTAAATCTCCTTCAGCATATCGCCTAATATGGGCGATGGCTTCCCCAGGAAGATTGCGTCGCGATCCGTGTAGTGTCTGACGTGCTGCAAGAAGTCGTAGAAGCCCGGCACATTGAGATTCTCGGCGAGTGGCATTATAATATCGCTGCCGCCGGCAATCAGCTCGCAGTTTTTGTTCAGCTGTAGGTGACGAATCGCCTTGGCGAGCTCCACATAGGACATATCCAGATGTATGTCGAATAGGACGGCGTCCACAGGTTTCTCAATGGCCAGATATTCGACTAGTGTGGCTGACGTCAAGTGCTCCTTGATTTGCTGTAGTTTGCATATGATTTCATTCTAGAGATCGACTCTATTTTTGGAATAACTCCAAGAACTCACCAGCGACTCATACTCGATTCCGTGCTTACGCAACGTCTCGTTGGCCTCCAGCGACATGAGCGAGTAGACGCGTTTGCCGGGCTTGTGCTTGTGCAGATAGCGCACAATACTCTTCACCGGATGCACTATGTCATCGTGTTGTACATTCTTGGCTCCAATGTAGTCGAATTTGTCCATGTATTGACCGTCAGTGCGGAAACTATTGTTCGACACGAACTTAACCGATTTGCCGGCGCTCTTGATGGCATTTATCGCCTCGCCGGCGCCCGGTATCCAGCCATGAAGCAACCAGACGACGCCATCGCAGTCGCTGATTACCATATCGAAGGAGTCAATGAAGCTGCGCTGCTCCTCGACGCTCAGATGGAGTATGTGCCGGGGTGCCATTACGATTAGAACTGTTGGTAACGAAACTGTGGACGCAACTGACCGGGCGGCTTAGCCCGTTACTATAACTGTTTGTCGCTTGAAATCGGTCGAAGGCGGTGGTGGATGCTGTTGCGCGCGCACGCAAATTAACAGTTATACTGAATGCCAAGGCAGTCGTTTAACCTTCAACGTCACATTGAAGTTCCAGCTGTTGCTTTGATTGGCTTGAGTTTGCTAATATACATATGTTCCATATATATGGATATATATATGTACATATGTTTATTTGTATACACATGTATCTACTTATCTCATGATTTAACTATTTTGTTATTGTGAAAGATAAGATCCCATGCGGCCCATCCATGTCCATCATTTACAAATGTTTTCATTTGTTTCAGCCTACGAGCACGCAGCGCATGATCATAGCTTCCAGCGTGTCGACACATATACAACATTACATTTAAATGTCATTTTATTGCCTTTGCGTTCATAAAGATAGCGCGCGCTTGTGCCAGCGTTGCCAGATGCTGATATAAAATTACTTTGGACAGCCATTTCAATTTCGATTACAGTGTGACCGTATTCGATCTCATTTTGCCATTTCAAAAGAATCGCTTTTGAAATTCATTGTAAATGTTTTACATTAAATATATTAAATTGTGCTATTTAAGTAGACGCATATTTTGGTTTCAATTAAGTGGACGTTACGAATGAGCAAGACAGATAGAGGAGTTCCTGTATTAAACTGTGCAACGCAGCTACCTAATTATTGAATTGTTTAAAGCGCGTAGAACACGCTTGATGATTTTACCGTATTGTAGATGACTTTGAGAGCGGTACGTATCTATGTATGTATGTACATATGTACGTATGTATGTACATGTATGTATGCGTTATGAAGGGTATGATCAACTTTTTTCCTTTGCACTGTTTAATTTTGTTGTTGTTTTCAGGCAGGCCTTTTAGAATTGATTGGATAAGAGTAATCCATACCAGGTCGGTGTAACGGAATGTTATGCTAATTAGTTTTTATTTCTAGTTGCGAATTACGATAAGGAAGTAGTTTATTATAGCATCATCCTGCGGTAACAATTATAATTCAGCCAACAGAAGGACCCTATTTAACTCCATCTGATATATGCTATATTTTGGCATAGATCTGCACATTTGAATGCATACATAGTATGTAAATCCTTTTGTGGCAAGACTTTTCCACTAATCGATGGCAAGATAGGCAATCAACTATAGAAATATTTGATCTTCGCTTTCAAATGCAACTGCTTATATTTAAACCTTACGATTTCCGCCCAACCATTTGCCTAACAATGATATATGATATTTTACGCCCGCTTGCCTTGACATTAGGAAAGTCTCTAAGTCCACTAAAGCCATGCACGCAAACATGCATACACAACTATACATACATATATAAAGACATGCACACCTGCAGACATGCCCAAGTTTTTAAAATCGGAAAATGGAGAAGGAAAACAAAAACGAAAACGAAAGTAAGCCCTGACCGCACTCTGACATGGGCAGCGATTTAAGGCAAAACAAATGCAGTAAAACTCGATGGAAGGGAAAAGCTGTTAACAAACAAAAACACTCAAAGAAAAGAAAAGAAACTAAAACGAACGTGCAAAAATTGGCAATGGGAATAATTGGAATACAGTGCCACCATGCGACGTTATCTGTGCAGCGTAGTTCTGGCCGAAAGACGAAGCGAAGAAGGCTGTGAGACGGCTGGCTGAGATAGTAGTAGTTCGACTACTTCGTACTAACCAAATAGGCACTCACCTAATACATGCGTAAATGGGCATGATAAACACTTAAGTATATGTGTATGTATGTATGTGCATGTACCAAACTTCGAGCATACATATGTACATGCAGACATACAGACAGACGGACGTCTGTATGTGAGTACATGTATCAAAAAAAATCCAAATCGATTGGCTGCCTAGTTAGGCGTTTCTGATAAGATAGAAGACGCCTCGAGCCCAGAACACGTACACAGAGAGAGAGAGAGAGAGCGAGGGAGAGAGAGACACACACAGAGGCATTCCAGAAAAAGCGATACATAACCGGAGTGAAACATCGAGAGGTGCGCCAGGTGCCTAGTACTAGTCGTGATTATACAATTACCAGCAGCACGCGAGCAGCAAGCAAGGAGCAAGAGTCATGAGCAGCACCGGCCAAGTCAACGTTACCATTGCCAGTGCCAATGGACATGGGGACAGCGACAGCAACTGCAACAGCAACAGCAACAGCAACAGCGGAGAAACACCATTGGGCCACACTGACAACGACCAGCTGCAAATCTTGGGCCAGCTGCGCAGCATTGAGCAGATCAACGAGCAGCGCCGCATCTTCCTGAAGAGCACCATCAACGAGATACAGGAGGAGAACGGCGGCGAGCCAGCTGAGGAAGTGCCCGAGCTGCGACGGCAAGTGACGCCGCCCAATAGTCTGGCGCTGAGCGTTAAATATGCCACGCTGCCAAGTCCATCGCTGGCCACATCGACGATGGTGCGCTTTCCGCTGTCGCCGCCGCCGAAGCCCCCGATGCTAAGTCGCACGCGCAGCACAGGCTCGGGGGATGCGCGTTCGCCGCTGGGCAATGGCGAGGCGGTTGTGCTGCGGCACAGTGTCACAGAAGCCGCCCTGACGCCAGCAGCAGCAGCAGAAATACCAGCAGAAGCAACGCCAACAGCAGCAACACCTGCAACAGCAGCAGCAACAACACCTGCAGAAGCAGCAACTCCTGCAGCAGCAGCAACTCCTGCAGCAGCAGCAACTCCTGCAGCA